TTTATCTATAGTGCGATAAAGTCTTTCTAATACACTTTGTTGGTTAAACTTTTAATGGACACAACACACTTTTGAAAAAAATGTATTTAAGTATACTTAATAAAAAAAAGAAAACTATAGTTTTTTTATTTAATGCAATTTTGATTCAGTTGTTCATCTTAAATTTAAAGTAAATACATACATCCAAAAACTAGCTGAATTTTTAAGCACTTAACATTTATTGGATGTTTGTGTTCTTATTTTTATTTACTAAATACTACTACATAACTACTTATTTTTTTTAATGTCTATTTATTCATGTAAAGTTCAGCTTAAACTTACCATACCCAACAATTTTTAGAATTATTCTTATAAGTATTGTACCTACATGTAATAAATTGTTTAAATGAATATCCCCAAAATATAAGTAATAACTAATAAAAAAGAATTAAAACTTTTGTGTGGATTATTTCTGCATTGGTATACCTACTAGGAATTTATTTTATTAATTTAAAAGCGTTTAAGCCACTGGCACCATAAAAATTCAAAAATATCCCTATTAAAAACCACCCTGATGTGGTATATTGCAATAAACCAAAATTAGTATTATTTCGAGCCTCCACACAGACAAATTGAAATACATTTACACAGCGTTAATAAACAATGATCATTAACACACACTAATAACTCACTCGGTAATACCAGAACAACATTTTTTCGCCACTATATATTCTCTTTGTTTTAGCGTTTTAGCAATGCACTGCAATGGTGCAACAAAAAGTAAACATAGATAATACATTTTCGTATTAGTAGTTATAAGCTATGATAATGATAATTAGTGAATAACATCGTTAATCTAATGCTCCTGTCACATTGTGAGAAATTATTTATGTAGGAACGTTGTAAATTCATTTTCCTAAGAAGTTTATTATTATTATCATTCATCAAATGTCAACATGAAACATTTTTTTGCTTTTTATACATAGTGCTCCATTTTAATTTTTGGTGATGATTAACTTAAGAAAAAGTTGTGTAATTACAAGACGATTAAAATCAAATTTATAAATTGGAAAAAAATCCAAATTATTTAATCAGTGTGGTAAATATTTAATTTGCAAAATTTAATTAAGTAACCACAGAGTTATTTACCTATGTGGTTTTATGGTTAAAACTAAATGTTTAATTTTAATGTTTTGTAATTTCATATACATATATGCATGTATGGTTTAAGTTTTTTATTTTATATTTCTTTGTTAGCAAAATCACAACTTTTAAATATAATAATACCCAAAAATATCATCCCAACAGGTACATTTGCATGTTGCTGAATTCAGAATTTATAATCTATTTAAATCTACAATTAAAAAAAACGACCAATGACCTCATAGGGCTTAGAATAGGTTTATTACCACAATATTTGGAATTGTTAATGAACTAAAATTTTAATATTTAAAGCTTCCGGGGGAAGTTAAACTTCTTACATAATGCCGTAGCTGATGACTTATTTATATCCTTACGTTAGCGTTAATTTTACCCTTTCAGTCTTTATTGTCCCTGTTTTATTACTATATCCCATTGTCGTTGACTAGTAAGTGTCGATAAAAAGATAGTAGTGAGTTTTGTCATGGATTCTCATAGATAATTTACCCAACTTTAACATTTTATGCGTATGTAATGTATTTTCAGACTGAAAGTTAGTTCCTATTAGATTTTAATTATTTTATTATACAGGGGGCGTAAAATGGAATTTTGGAAGTGTTGCCGGAAAAGAATTGTCGACTAAGGGTGGCTAGCAGGGTCCAAAAAATAAAAGGTTTAAATAGTTTTGTTTGCTTAAAGTCTGAATATTTTACTTTTTCCCTTAATAATGACATCAAAAAAGAAGATACCTAGTTCTTTCAGTTCATACAGTGTATAGTCTATTGGCAATTATAGTGTATTGTATAGTATACACTAAGTAGTAACATCATTCCTTTAACATCAATGCAACGCGGAAATTCAGGCAATTTTGGATGATTTAGGTTGTTTCATTTTTTATTTCTTTAGTTTTTGTAAACACTCTGTCTTTATGCCATTTAAAAATTTTCTATTTGATTTTAAAGGAAAACTTTGTGGTCAACATTCTTTATTTTAGTCAGAACGTATTTCGCAGCAACATCAAACAAATCTTCAAGATAACTTTTCAACATATTGCCACGAACAGTAGGTTTGTCACTTGAAATTCGATGTCTAGGAAGCCAGAGTTGGTACATTTGTACCTTTTTGGTGCTTTGGTGGTACCAAAGTACTACAAGGACTATTTTGGTACATTTTCACAAAATTTTTAAATTTTGATTAATTTTCAATTTTTTGCCTATTCTCAATAAAGTTCCTGCTTTGTTTCTCTTTATTCTAGTATTCCGCTTCCCGTCTTTATTCGTTTTATTTTATATTCGTCTGTTGCAACATCGCGCTATATTTAATTTTGGGGGAAATACGAAAAACCCAAAAACGTTTTTGTTTATTGCATTTAAATTAGAGGTAAATTTTAGGGAATTTGGTACTTTATTTTTTCTTCCATTGGCAACACTGAAGTTAGCAGATCTTATCGGCATTCTGATACTGTCATTCTTTAAAATCGGAAGATTTACGTAGCAAAATTTTGTAATAAAAATTATATATCAAAAATATTAATATATCTGATAATCATTTATACATTTCACATAGGGGTCATAATTAATATATTTTATTTGGACTAAAACTAAAGTTAATTTTATTTACTTGTCCATTGGCACTTCCAACCTCTATAGTCGTCAGTTCCATGAACATGACGTATGTGATGATTTTGTCAGTTTATAAAGAAAATAGTTATTTAGGCAGTAAAGTCGTCTCTGCAAATAACCACGGGAGTGATAAAAAATAACTTTAATGCCGAGGTGCATATTAAATTTTATTCGAAATCACATATAACAATACTAATAATTAATATTGATGATCAACTCAAATGTCATTTGCGTAGAGTTAGTAGCAGTAGACACATCTTAAAATGTATAATGGGTTGCATACAATACTCGTATTAAATCGGCGGAAAGTTCTACTTTACTGCCGATTTCTTTTACTTTACTGCCGATTGTTGACTACTTTACTGCCGATTTCGGATAAAAGTATGGTTTATGGGTTACTAGGGTAATTCACTTTTTGACTTATAATATCAAAAACTTGGTTGCTGGGCACTTCAAAAGAAGTTGTTTATACTAATACTTGCAGGTTAAACAAATCACTTTGAATTTATGATATTTTTTCTACTACCTTACTAGAAAACTTAATTTTCCTCCCTCTTTTTTTTTAACAATTTTACATTAGCAAGAGTTTTTGTACCTTGTCTAGCCCTATTTGATTTTGTAGGAAAAATATTTACTCCGCGCTTGTCCAACCAGTCTTTTAACAAACTATAGGTATTTATTTTCATATCGCTCTTTCGATTTTTAAGGAAGGAAATTAGTTGCAACTATTCTTGCCTCTTTAGCAAGATCTTGTGGCAGGTCTTCTTCGCTAGAACTCATTTTCAAAACGTAGGAAGAATTTCAAATTTATGATAAACATTCTGACAGCTTATAAAAACTGTTATTTTTGTATTATCAAAATACCATAGCAACAAAGCGTTGTCAACATAACGTCGGCGACGCAACACCTACTTAATATTTTGTAATAATTTTAGTATCATGATTTTGTAATAAGTTTATAGCCCCATACCGGGATAATAAAAGGAACCGAAACGCTTAAAATGTCTTAAAACCATTAAAAGGTAATAGAAAAAACTATACCTCCCTTGAATATTTAATGCCCTTCGCTTCGCGTCGGGCATCAAACTATTCGCGGGAGGAAAAGCACTATTTTCCCCCCATGGTATGTAAATAGCTATTTAATAATTTTCAAAGTTTACCTTAACTAGGCACCTGTAGATATTACCCTGGAAAGACAAAATTTTGCAGCATAAATACTACACCAAGAAGACAACTTGTTCTTAACCCCTTTTAACGTGCTATAGGTGACTATCTTAATTTTGTTGTTAAGAGTCGTATGAATTGGCACTTGATTTTTTTAATCGTTTTAAAAGAACTAAAATCGATACATAATTTGTAAACTGATAATATCTAATGAGCTTTTTGAACACGAAAATGTCACTTCGTTGTTCCTGGTCAATCAAACATAATTAATGATGAAGTTAATGTTTGGACGCTTGCCGTGTTTACAGGGTGGCGATTTGATGAATGGCTTGTGCTAGGTTTTTTTCAGGCCGACCTCATGAATAAATATTTCGTGTTACGAATCAAATTACAATTTGTACGGCGGGCCCTTTCGCAACACCTTCAGGAACATGCCTAATGCAAATCTTATTGGGGTGATTAATCAAAAGGTTTTTTGATGAATTCCTTTCGGACACATTTATATAACTAACTAATAACGTAACAATGCACTTACCTATAGTAAGCACATGCAAAGGAAACAAGTTACAAATAAAAAAGCTTTAAAAATTATCAATCACCCCGAGACTGTACCTTTCTCAATCATAATAAAACTTTCGTTTGCCATTGTGTTTTAATATACGAGGCATACGCGATAGAATCACCCCCAAAAATATATTAAAGTTATTTTCGGAGACCCTGTATACGAGTCATGCAATGTAAAAATACTGATAAATACCTTTTTTTCCTGAAAAACTGTTTCTAATTTTGGGTAAAAATCGCTGATGTTGGGGCAGATAGGTGGAAGGTTTGGCGCGTATTGCCTCATATTATTGAGTTTTGTTTTAAAAGGTAAATACGTTTTAGAAATATACAATGTCAAAAGCGCAACTTTGGACACCCTTAATCTTGAAAACTGTGTTTTTTATGTTTTGGCCGTTTTAAAATTTCAATGATATCCTAACATATTTCTTGAATGTCTAAGACGATAAATTTGAGGTTTTATACAGTTAGTAATTTATTTGACTAATTTGTAGCCGGGATTAAAAGATAATTTAAAATATCAAAAACCTTTACTTACTGCACTGTGAGATGTTTCATGTCAGCGATCGTCGGATTTTTGGTGATTTTGGGCGACTTCACGACCACCGCGTTCACCCGATCCGTGTCTATTCGATACTTTTCCTTTTCCGCACTATACAAATTAACATAGTCCACTAGATCACTGAAATCGTCGTGAGAGTCAGTTGTTTTTTGTATTGTCTCCGATTGGACATTAGAGTCTTTATTTGCGTTTGTTTTTGGTTTAACATTGTTGCCGTTGTTGTTATTTTCTTTGTTGTTTGCTGATGTAGCTGCCTCGTTTGGAAGACTTTCTTTGCTTATGTTGGTACTTGTTGCGCTGTAACAAAAAAGAAAAACGTTTAGTTGGTAACATTTCATTTCGAATCACCCATTATTAATTAAAAAAAAATGTTTTTAGGATTTTTTATATCATTAACCGTTTTTTACAATTGATTTTAGTTTTTTTTTGCGCTGAGCTCATTGGCCGAATGACATACAACATTTAATCTTTAATAGGTCTATAAATAATGGCAACATTTTATTTTTGAAACGATGACTAAAACGTGCATTATTAAAAGTAGAAAGTGAAGTTACATAGATCTGACAGATATCAAATTTTATGATTGGCCTCATAAAGTATTTTGCAACCCGATTGGTCTAAATGATTTGTATGTGCCTTGTTTATAATCAATCACTTTAGTGTCGAGTGTTAAATTTATAGACTAAGATTGAAAAATAGTATATTACACTACAAGGGCAGAAAGTGTGAGATTCCTGCACTGCGCGCCATGATGCCCTCGGCCGAAAATACAACCCAACCCAACCCGGAGGAAAATACGGGAAAAAATTAAATGTGTATATCGAAACATATTGATGCCTGCCCCGACATTTGCGGCACGAGCGAAGCCTTCGTAGCCCTTGTAGTGTAATATACTCGAAAATACGTTGTTTTGTCCCCGATTCCAATGCATCAAACGTAAATTTAACCAATACATCAAACGTAAACTTTCTGCCGTGGAATCGGGGACGAAACAACGTATTTTCGGCCGAGGTAGTAAGAAAAATGTATTATTTATTTAAATGTAGGTACGTAATTTTTTGTTTAGTTATTTAAACAAAAACAAAATTTAGCTATTAAAATCGAAAATTGTTGTGTTTTAAAACAATTGTAAACTACGATAGATATTCCAAAACCACTTTCTTTAAAATTTCAAAAATATGTTGTATGAAGAAAAAAAGAAAAGAATGTTCTATGCTCGACATCAAAAAGCCCCACTTTGACATTTGAATATGGAATGCAGTGAAAGAATTGAGGTTATGTATTTGTCAGTTTAAATACATGTATTGTATTATTTTTAGAAAATAGAACGAAGTCAGACTTAAACTGACAGATACATAACTACTTGAATTATTGAATGTGTGATTGGCCAGCAAATACCTATTCAAAATTATAAAAACCTACAAAATGAAAAATTTAAAATTTTCCTATATGATCAAATAGAGCTGATTGAGTAGGTAGTAGTTATATCCCAAAAAACAATATTAAAATCGTTCAATGCGATCCAAGATATGCTATCTTTAATTGCACACTGTATAAATAAATTGCAAGTGAATAATTAGAAGAGTGAATAATATTTTTATTAAACACTAAATTTAAAAACATATTTTTATATTGTTTTAATTTTACTCTTCAAGTAAAATATAATAATAATTATTATATTGTAATTACCTATTAAATAGATTTTATAAAAAAGGTTTCATAGAAAGTTTGATAATAACCGAACACCACCTTATTGTATTGTTCTATAATTTTTAAAACGCATTTGCAGTTTTATTTTTTAGGCGTTAATTTAGAGCATGTAATTTAATACAATTATTAAAAATATTGACAATTATATGCCCAATGTATAAATTAAAAAATAAAACTTTAACAAGTTCCAAGTTATGATATGCAAACCGCAAAATAAGACTTCATCTAAGAGGGTTTTTGTATCGTTGAAATGCTAAACCATCAACGAAATTCAAACCATGACTTATTTATTAAACACGAACATTTTAAAGCATATTACGAATATAAATATAACAATAATTGGCCAGTAATAAATTAAATCTTAAGAGGATTTCCTCTAAAAAATATATCAAATGCAAGCCTTTATCTTTTATTTTGTTAGATTTAAATCTCCGGATGCGGTATTATGTTTCAACAATTTTAGTTTAATGGTAATTGTCTATTCAATTTGTAATTTATTAACATCTCCAGTTTGCCTTTCAATTCATTTATTATGTAGGTTTTAGTGCTTGCGATTTGCTTAATTGTATTTTCGTAATGTTCAAGAACATATATGTTCTTGAACATTAACATATATGTAATTATTTAGTATTTATTTATTATACTATACAGGGTGTCCCACAATTAGTGCGACAAAATGAAGGTGTATTATCTAAAGACCCCCAGGAATTCCAGAAAATTGTTTAAAAAATTCTTTCTTCATTATTTAATAAGATACAGGGGAGTCCCTGTCTGACGTAAAATAAATAACCTATAACTTAAAGTAACAAATTTTGACATTTAAATTTGGCATTTTCTAACATTGTTGTTTGTTGTCAAGATGACTAAGAATTAAACTATTACTTTGTTATGAGGCAATGTTGCCATATAAAAAAATATGACTCCCACGTATCTTATTAAATAATGAAGAAAGAATTTTTTAAACAATTTTCTGGAATTCCTGGGGGTCTTTAGATAATATACCTTCATTTTGTCGCACTAATTGTGGGACACCCTGTATAGTACATAAAAGCTTTGTTTCAGACGCAATAAGATTTTTCGGGTCGCCCTAGAGTCCTATTGCGCAGGCGTCTGACTGCTTTAGACACTGTACCAGGTGTGTTCAGAAAATAACGGGAATTGTTAAATTTCGCGGGTTGGGAGGGTCTGGTTGTCATACAATTTTCTTTATTATGTTGGTATACATGCCCCCGAAGTATGATAAAAACTTTAGCTGTTTTCATTGTTTACTTTGTCTATGGCAGCCGCTAAGGTTAGACGTGTTTTATGAGCTCGGCGATTTTTCGTTCGTTAAAAGAAATGGATCAAAGAATTTGTATCCAATTTTGCTTAAAATGAAAAAAATTCTGTGAAATGTTAACAAAGGCCTATAGTGAGTCTGCTATAAGTAAAACAAGAGAGTTTACAAGTGGTATAAGAGTTTCCAAGATGGCCATGAAGACGTTGAAGATGACAAACGCCCCGAACGCACACGAACATTAACAACCAATAAAAAGATGGAAAAAGTGAAAGAAATGGTTATAAACCACCAGAGAAGTCGCTGATGATGTTGGTATTTCGATTGGCTCATCCCATGAAATTTTTTCGAATGTTTTGGGTATGAAACGCGTGGCAGCAAAGTTTGTTCTATTTTATAAAATTGTTAAATTTTGAACAACATTTTTGGCCAAAAACAATACTGTAATGATGCCCCAGCCTCCATATTCGCCAGACATGCCTCTGTCTGACTTCTTTCTATTCCCAAAAATAAAGATAGCCTTAAATAAAAAAAATTTCTAATAATAATAGTATATTATTATAAGAGTGATAATGCAGGCTAGAGAATTATGCTCATAATTTCGAGTGTAATACTAAACTTTATCTTATTATTAACTTATATTTTTTTAAATAAATAAATAAAGTCTGACATATGTGAGAGTGTAAAGCTAAATTTTTACCAATTTTGAATAATATTATAGTCGAGTTATCCTAATTAAAAACCCGATTCGTTAAAATCACAGTGAATATTGAAATCTGCCAATCACTGATGCCGTATATTCATTATTCCCGTTGTTAGGCAGGGGATTTATATTGATTATACGAGTATACGGAAAAAATCCAATATTATGCAATGGGAGTATATAAAATGTTTGTAGGTATGCTATAATAATTTTAATTTGATAAAATGTATGTATATAGTGGAAAATTATGCGATGTTTTCGCAGTAATTTCAGTAAATTTGCTTTCTTTTTAAAACAGTCAGACTTGCATTTGTGTTTGCAAACCAAACACGTTTTGCCTAGTGGGTACCAACCTAACATTAGATAGGTAAACGTGAAATCTAAACGCCCATTTGGCAAAATGCATGCATATTATAATTTTCCTACGTATACGTACAATAGACAATAATCGGCTAAAATAATAAATGAAAGTAGAACCTACGCCAGCAAGGTTTTTTTGTTAATTTAAATTTAATGTAATGGCTTAAAAATATCTTTGACATTTAAACCATAGTTTATCTATTTTTCGTTTATAATGATTTCATTATAACACCGCTTTCGCTGTAACGAGATACTTTATTCCACTCAAAATTTTGTTTTTTTAGGTTGGCTATACTTTAAACAGCATAATATTTTGCATATTGGTTATAATATTTTTATGATTTTTTTGTACTTACGAGACTTTTCTGGCAATAAAGTTTGTTTAACACCAAAGAAAATCCTTTTTTCTTCTTTAACATTAACATCCGCTTATTGTTGTTAATATGTAAGTAAATTAAGGACGGAATGGCGAATCGATTTTGACATTAACTGTCAAACCAATGACTGTGATACCAACTATCTAAAGTAAAATTCGACCAAATTAAATTTAATAATTTATAGAAGATACACTCACAGGCAAAATAATCGATCCACACAAATTTTCGAGGAATTTCAATCGCAAATAACTTTTTTATTTGATGTCGGATTTAAACGAATATTAAAGAATATTGTAGATAAATTATTGGACAATCGATCACATTTTAAAAAATTACTAAAAAATAGACGTACGTTTATAATATACAGGTTTAAACAAAAATATGTTTTTTACCATAAGTTTAAGACACTCTGTAGAGTGGCAAAACCGTATATTGTTCTAAATTAAGTTTTATTTATCAAGTCACATCTATTCTTAACAGTTTTGTTTTTGGTTCACCTCAATATATTTATTTTTGTGGAAAATATGGATTTTTAAAAAAACATTGCAATTTCCAATATTTTTCTGTATGAAGAACTAAGGTTGCTATGGTCCATCCATTGCCTATGAAGGATGACAGTGACAGTTTTGTTGAATCATCCCATACTTGTCATACACGGCTTTCAAAAGCTATCAAATTTTTTTTTGCAAATTAATGTTTAAATTTTGAGGTGTCTTCTTACTTTAAAAAATGGATATGTCTCCGACTGATGTTGCCAGAGCCATTAATTTAATCCAGGATGGACGGTCACAGTATTACGTGGCAAGTGTTTTAAACGTCACAAGAAGTAAAGTACAATGGGCAACATCAGTCGGAGACATTTTTAAAAGTA